TTCGGACTTTTTCTGACTATTTCTGGGAGATAAGGAACGCGCATACTATGAACTACCAATTCCGACAAAAAAAAAATCTTCTTTTTCTTTGCGATACATTTGCAATGATTGGGCTGTTTCACACTACAAAGACACACGGTTTCACATTGGATGAAAACTAGCAGAACAACAGCAGGACAAAGTGCGTAAACGTATTGGCCGTAGTGCGCTGCACCAGAACTTGGAACAACTTTTTGAGAAACTTCACCTCACCGCACAAATAGGGTTATTCTGGTGGCAGAAATGTTCCGATGAGAAACGGACCATTGGTACGTACCACGATTGAGAGAATACAAAGGTTGCGCCGATCTCGGACCGCTATTCCTCTCTTAACGAATTTGACAGAATCGTTGTTTGCATGACGTCACACTTGTGCAACTTGTTTACGTTTTCCTTNGGGTACGTACATATACTCGCGTACAAAAGTATTGGCACTGAAACACAGAATTTTTTGCTATGTATGCAAAGCTTTTGATTAGAATTTCTTCTCATGCTATAACAAAAAATAAATAAAAATAAAATCCTAAACCTTTTACAAAATTCAGGAAAAGTCTACAACTTTACGTGCTAATTTGCTACTTTCTAATCAGTTTTTTTAGAAAAATTCTAAGTACATATGCAGTTTTATAGCCCAATCATGCCCCTCGGAACAAGTGCAGAATACGTACATTTCTCAAAAAACTAAAAATGGTGGGTTCTATATAGGTATTTATACTGATTACAAAAACATAACTTGTTTTTGAGAGACACAAAAACTGTGAGATTTAAGCAAGGTCAAATGTCAAAAAATAAATTTCTTCAAATTTGAATATCTCGTAAACTATTTAAGAGCGAAATACACCACACAAGCGGCTTGTCAAACATTCTTCAAACCTACTTTTCCCATTTCGCCATATACCATGCAAACATGACTCGTTCAAGCAAAGAATTTTAGTTTTCTTCCAGTTCGCAATGCTAAATATTATGGTTTTCTTTCATTTTCCTCTCTTACGTCCTTACTCGGTGAAAATTTCGTTGCGAATGAGGCGATTTTGCTATACACAACGCAAGCGGTTTGATCAAACATCAACATGGCGGCCAGAAAATCAAAAAATTTTGATTTTTGCTCAAATTTCCCTCAAGCGGTTTGTCAAACCTTCAAACACCCCCATACACAGCACAAATGGCTTGAAGCAAAGGGAAATTTCGCTTGGTTTGTCAAACCGCTTGTGTGGTGTATTTCGCTCTTTACTATTTACTAATAAGATTAAGGGTGGGTAACTCAGCAAATTTATAGGAGTTGACTCAATGACTCCAACTCACTTTAAGGAGTCAGCTCATTCAACTAACTCATTTGACTCTTTGTATGTTACACTCATTCGTATCGTAGACTCGTTTTGAGGCATAGATGCGGTATAGCGGCCGTTGAGATAAAACAAAACTTTAAAGTGGGCGTGGTCAGCTCCTTTCTACTGATTTGAAAGGTGTAATTTTTTTTGTGTGCAAATTAATAGGGCGGTGCTAGGGGGAGGGTAAAGGTGGAATTTTCAATATTTTCAAAAGCTTATATTTCGAAACCTATTGTACCGAATTTCAAAATGTGGATATGGTTGGAAAGGCAATTGATTTGATATGCACATCTTTATATATCTTACATACATACATATTTCGAGAAAAACTAAAAAAAAAACGAAATTATAAGAATTTGTGAGATTTGACATAACACCCGCAATACAAAATACATGTGGTTGTTGTTGTTGTATTCTTGCCACCACCTTGTATAAATTCGCCTCGTGCAAAAACAAAATGCAAGACTTTGCCATGCTAAACACTGTGGCGAAGCGAGAGAGTTATATGGACAAATATGAGCCACTATGATTCAATTGATTCATGTGAGCCCTACGGCATCAACTGAGTTACTGAGTTACATTTTTTTTGGACAGGGAGTCTGAGTTACCGATTCACTTATAGGAATCAACTCAATAACTCAACTCTGAGTTGAGTTACCCACCTCTAAATAAGATGTTGTGAAGAAATGGTTCTCTATAGAACAAAAACCATTTTTCCCTGAAAAACGGAGTATCCGATGTTGTTGTTGTTCCGGGGGACGGCCATCGAAGGCCTCTACGCACCCGCACGCGCTTTATGATTAAATCCTGTAAAAAAATAATTTTCTTTCCCCTTTTCATAATTTAGTTATTCTCATTGTAGTCATTTATTTTAGTCATTGTAAATCAATAAATTAAAAAACATGGAATTATAAACAATTTAACATTAGTTATTTAACATACAAACATACATATAAAATCAAATTACCATTTTATGGCTTTTTCATTACAAACAGACCAGATAAAAAATTAAGAGCCATTCCAACAGATTTCAATATTTTTACGCAGTCGTCGACATCTCTTATACCGATAGCTTTCAAGTCATCCATTGTCAAAGTTGAAAATACATCCAAATCGAGTATTTCCTCCCGTTTAAAAATTGTCCAATATTTTTGCATTCCAACGCGCAATAAGAGCTCATAGATTGACGGGTTTTTCATAGGTGACAAATTATCCCACACCCACTTGAAAACAGTGGACATAGTCGCGTCTGATTCGACGCACGAATTATCATCCAACACCAGTTTGGGTGGCTTACGACAACGATTTCCCAAACCCGATGCACGCGAGCTTGAAGTTGCGCTCGAATTTGAAGCAAAGGAAATATTGGAGTCGCTGGAAATGTCGGAATTTGACGCTCTTGAATCATTGACTGAACATTGTCTACTGCTTTTGTTGTGAGTGTTATTTCTCATTGAATTTCTGGGACTTAGCTGGTAGTTGGAAGATTTTGCATCGTAAATGGATTCCTCAAAAGCTGACGTGTTCGAATTTATGGAGTTCCGATGGCATTTTGATGAATTTGTCATTGATGCAAATGTCGGCTTTAGCTCATTAGTACTCAGACTGGCATCAGTCGTGCTAATATCTGATTCACTGCCAAAAGACTTGACTGGAATATCCGATTTTTTTGTTGAAACGAATCTCGGCGAAAGTTTCCTTGTTTTAATTGTTCTCTCCGATATGACATTATTCGTATATTTCCTTGGATTAACGCATATTACACCGCCATTCAGTCCAGCTGGAGAGGTTTTGGTAGTTACTTCAAACCGTCGCGCTTCGATGGCTTGAATGTATGGCTTAAGCGAGTCATCACCACCCAGGTTAAAACTGAATTCAGTATTTGATGCAAGCGGTGTAAGTGGAGTGAGTGGTGATTTTGGATCTGTGAATAATCAAGTATCAAATCAAAGCATTAAGAGTAAATCACACATAAAACAACTTGCCACGATACGCGCGCCTAAATGAATTCATATTTTCTTAACAACAATTATTAAAATCTAAACACAAATCGGGACGTTAGACATCGGTGGTGATTAAATAAAAACTGTAGACGAGTACACGTGCATGCTTCAAGCAGTATGCTAAGGCAAAAAACAACAAAGCACCGCCTTGGAAATTAACCGTAGCTCATGCAGCGAGAAATTGGAGTACAGCATTAAAATAGCGAGTAAGTCCGTACGGCCTTCAAAAAACAGTTAGCAAGAAATGAGAAGTTGATCTTTCTGAATCTTTGTTTTACCTAAATTTATAGGAAACAATTTATTTAGTAAATAAATCACTTTCCAAATGTTTAACTCTCTTCAACGGATACCAACAAGTTGATCGCCGGAAATAAAAACGCCTTGTACTTTCTTTCGATTTCCCTCTTTCAGAGCCCCTTTGTGGGCTTCACGTAATCAGCTGATGCGCTATTGTGATCGGACTTTTGTCGTCAACTTGTTTTTTGCGCGTTTGTTTTTCAACATTTTTTTATTTTATTTATAGCGATTACCCGATAAAGAAACGAATATACGAAAACAATTCGCAACAGCTTCCATATTACAAGCCGCAAAAGATATATAAGAAAACAGCAGCAGTAAATTTGCTCTGCAGTGAAAAATTTCGTGGTAAGAAAGTTGTAAAAGATCTCAGGGAAAAGTTTTCCCAGATTGTTTTTGCTTATTTTTTTTTACTGATAGGTACAGTGAGTTAGCCAAGCGTGAAAATTTTGCGAGTGTTAGATAATTGCTAAGAAGGCGAGGAATAGGCGCTTACAAGGGCATTCATATTCAATGTGTATGATACGCCGTCGTGTGCGGTACAAAAATTTAACGATTTTTGCCAAAAATTAGGAAGTGGTGAGTGCTTATTACATTTTGTATAATATAGGTATGTACATAGATACTACATTGCGAAAAATATATGTAAGCTATTTTTTCATATTCTTGTTTTCTGCTTCTGCGACGTAATTCTACGCCCAGCTGTCTCAATCAACAGAAACAAACACAAACAAAAACGCTCCTGATCTGTTGTCACAAGCAACCGAGAAACTGTGCGAAACAAGCAGCTGCGGGTTTGCGGACGTCTCAGAGTTTTTCATTTTGCTGGGCATAGCCGTATAAGCAAAGGACGCCAAGGATGTCTGTGCGCCTACTAACCTTGCGACTGGCTAGACATGGTCGTTATTTCCTACAAGGCTTCTGGAGACGTGATATACACAACAACATTTTGGAACAAAGCCGAGAAAAGACGCGCCGGAGCTTACCCAACCCTTTGAGGGTATGTTAAGTTAAATATAAATAAAATAAGTAAAATAGCAAATATTTTTTTGTTTCCCCTAACATTGCCAGCCCGGCGCTACCAGCGTTGCCGCCTCCGCCAAACCCCCTGCAGTTAAAGGCGTTCTGAATGGCGTTACCAATGCTAGCTCTAGTGTTGCATCAAAGTCCCTACCTCGAACCGGAATCTTAAGCGTCGGACAACATGCGCGTAAAGTGTTCATTGATAATATCTTAAATCGGGTGACAACAAACTACTCTCACGATTTGCGTACACAAGCAACTAAAAAGTTGTTCTATGGAGATTCCGCACCTTTTTTCGCCCTAGTAGGCGTAAGTTTGGCCTCTGGTGCAGGTGTTTTGACGAAAGATGATGAATTGGAGGGCGTTTGTTGGGAGATACGAGAAGCTGCCGGCCGCCTGCAGTCATCATGGAATTATGACGAAATATCTGAAACGCTAAATAGTGACTTTAGCATCGATAAATTGGACGTTGGGCCAGCTATTGCTAAAGGCTGTGCCGCCGTAGTCTATTCGGCAGCGTTTAAAAACGAGACCAGTGCCTCTGGCACCACGGAGATACCTGCTTTGGATGCAACTCATGATGCCGAAGCTGCTGCAGCTATGGCTCGTGGCAGTGCAACGACTCCACTACGACAGCAATCCTTCTACCCAGAGCTGATGTCACCAATGCAGAATATGTCACGTTTTGTACACAATTTCGGCAGTTCTATGGATAACTTGAATGAATTGTATAATCAAAACTCGGCTGCAGCCGCTTTTGTTGCTGAGCGTAGGGCACATTGCGCAGCCGATGTGCAAGAAGAGAATATTCAGAAATTGGAAGGTGATTTCAATAATGACGTTAATGCCGGTTTCTCAGGCATCAGCAGCGGAATGCAGGGACTGGTATGTATCATTAGCGCTTTGTAAATAAAGTCTTATAAATACATGCATGCTTTGTTTTTATTACAGCAATCCATAGACACTCCTCATGCTAGTATTAATCGCTATCCGCTCGCCTTGAAAATGATGTTCAACTATGACATACAGAGTAATGCTCTCTCCATACTGCGCGCTATGTACAAGGAAACTGTGCCTGCACGTGCCCGTCGCATGAACGACTGTGCTGAAGAGTGGGAGCGTTTATTGCAAAATCAAACCCTAACTCTGCCACCTCATCCGAATATAGTTTGCATGTTTGGTTTCTTTTGTGACGAGGTGCGTAATTTCCCCGACGGCCATTTACTTTACCCCATTGCGCAGCCCCAACGCATCAATCCACACGGCTATGGACGCAATATGTCACTATACCTATTGATGAAACGTTATGACTATAGCTTGCGTGCGCTTCTCGATTCACACAAACTGAGCGCGCGTGCCAAACTATTGCTACTGGCACAATTGCTTGAAGCCACGGCACATATTAATCGTCATGGCATTGCACATCGGGACCTTAAATCAGATAACATTCTTATTGAAATGAACGACGATGATTCTCCACCAGTATTGGTACTCTCGGACTTTGGTTGTTGCTTGGCCGATAAGGTGCATGGCTTGCAGATACCCTTTACCTCGTACGATATAGATAAGGGCGGGAATGCAGCGCTAATGGCGCCAGAGATCATTAATAAGCAACCGGGTCCATTTGCTGTATTAAACTATGCTAAAGCGGATTTGTGGGCATGTGGCGCGATAGCTTATGAAATATTTGGGCAACGCAATCCTTTCTATTCGTGCAGCGGTGGTTTGGCTTTGGCAAATGGCGAACAAACGCTTTCGCTACGCAACAGTGATTATAAAGAGGAAGATCTGCCGCCGCTTAGCGACGAATGTCCAGCGATAGTTCAACAATTGATATATAATATACTAAATCCGAGCCCTTCCAAACGTGTGAGCCCTGATATTGCAGCGAATGTGATGCAACTGTTTTTGTGGGCCCCATCCAAATGGTTGCGGGCTGGAGGTATGCCCAACAGTCCGGAGGTATGTACAATTTGCTGACTATAAAATGAAGCGTAGTGAGAATAGTAGGCCTATTCTAAATTCTTTTTATTTTCTACAGATCCTCCAATGGCTACTTTCGCTCACAACGAAAGTAATGTGTGAGGGTCGCGCTGCTGTCGATCAACTAAGCTTCAATGCGAGTGGTCGCCGTACTTATGTAGAATATTTGTTGATTTGCAGTTTCTTGGCACGTGCACGCCTCCGACGCATACGCGGCGCACTTAACTGGATACAAGACATAGTAGTAGCTTAAGCAAAAGCTTACAACTCAACAATACTAACTTATAACTTGGGAGCCCATTACCTAATGTTAGCACTATTCAACCCGTATTCTAGCATTACAGCGATATTGAGCAGGAAAATTTACATGGAATTAAACAAACTTCATGCGGGAAAATACGATTATTATATGATGGATAATTCCTATCAGACAAACTAGCACAGTATGCACATATATGTATGTTAAAATGTAACTAAAAATGACTATTTGTTATTAGCTATTGGAAAAATTGGCATAGTTTTTTATACGTTTAAATTATGTATTTGTATTCTTAAAAAATTGTAATTCAAAAACTTAAATATTTTGCTTAACAATCTATATAAATTTATGATAAAAATTTAAATTAAAATTAGCAGAAATAATAACAATGAAGCACCACAACACCATAAAATCAGTTATTTACTTAATTAGACAAAAGAGGCAATATAAGTTAAACCTTTAATGTCTGGAAAACCCATAACGCAAATTGATGTAGAACGACGTATTAGTAGTGTAAAACACCTGGCCTTTTGGCTCATGTTGTTGGAAAACCCTAAAATGTTCTTCAAAAATTCTTGCTACGAGTTGTTGTTGTAACAGCATACAAATTTCCCAAAGAGTTTTTGGGAAATGATATTGGAGTGACAGTCCTTGGTCAGAAAAAAATCTGGTTCGTTCCGGTTACCTAGATTCGACTGTCGTGGGAACGTAACTCCTTTGTGTAACGCTCGAATTGTTCGAGATCTAGCGTTTTGATTTGCGTAAAATGAAACAACCAAAGATCATTCTCTAGAAAGGCCTATGTAACCGGAACGGAACAGATTTATGTATGTACATATGTACGGAAACATTTCGATGAAAATTTCTTGGTATTTCTTGCATTTTCCCGAGTTATGTATGAAATTAAAACAAGTAATTTTTTAGCAAAAAATAAAACAGACTTCAGTTCTCATGTAAAAGTTTAAGAGTACCGTTAATTTCTTCATGTTCGGATCTAAACCAAATTAGTATGGGACCACCAGTGAGGTACTATCTTTCCTTTAAACAAAATTATAGAAATCGATTAACGTGATAAAAAGTTATGCGGTAATATATGTATGTACATAAAAAAAAATATTCCGACGAATTGATATCTAACCTCATCCTTTTTTTGAAGTCGCTTAAAAATTGATTATTGTGGTTTTGGTGGTTGAATGAACTATATATTTATAAAAAAAATAAGAGAAATTTGGTATGGAAAATACAAACAAGGACCGCTCACTTCCTAAAACGCGGGTAAATTTATATACTGTTACAAAAATAACAACTTGTTTTATGTTTATGCATGTATGAATTTATTACAGTATTTACAAATATTACTGCAGAGTTTTAAGCATTTCTGCATTAAATTTCATTTCACTGTCACAGCCGGTCTGGCTATCCCTTCAAATTATAACGTATCCGTATCCTACCCCTCAAATCAAATTTCCTTCCAACTTAGAATTTGCAACCCTGTTACCTCTGCGGCTCAGCTGTTTTTACATGCATTCGACATCAAGCAGTCACAATAAAATAAACCGGTGCAACAACGTCTATAAAAATCAGGGCAGCGTGCATAAAAATGTAATAATTTATTTAGAAACAAAAATGTTATATTAAGAAATTGCTAGCCGTATATATACATGTATGCATGTATGTACATGCATTTCTTTTCGTTTATCACTCATTCCGTAGTGGATTGCTACACTTACTACTAAGTACATACTTAATCCCTTTATCGCCAAGTGATTCCTTATATTCTTTATCAGTGAACGTGTAAAAATCAAAAAGAAAAACGCGCTGTTCTATTAAAAATACTCAAATGGTAAACCAAAAACTATTTTAAGTTCCTCGCTTATCAGTGGCTATGTATGACGTCTGTTGTTTGGCATCTGTTATCAAATGAATTCGTGCATATTAACATATGCCATTGAGTGTTGATTTTGTGAGCGCTTTGTTTGGGTTTGGTGAGTGGGTTGTTCTATTTCTGCTTTTTATTTCTTCTCGCGATTTCCGAAAATGGTGAAGGAAGTGAGGGACAGGGAAAAATGGCGTATGTATCATGTTATGTGATGTTATTGATGCCGGCCTATGTATCAGTTTAAGCATTTGCCCTATGACCAGAATCTACTAAAACCAAAACAACTAAACGCAACGCTGTTTTGATATTTACATGAAATTTTATGCTTAAAACTATCAGCAAGATTATTAAACGATTTAACAATGTAAAATTGATAAGGCAAACATTGTTCAAATTACATTTTTAAGTGTTTTTAGAAAGATTACACCATAGAGACTATTACAGAAACAATTCCCAAGAAATGTAAGGCTAATCAACATTTGTAGAAACCACAAACAATCTTTATTTTACTTTGTAATGCCACCACAATAGGTACACAATTTGATAAAGCTTTAAAAACTGCCGGTAAAAATTGGGATATCATCAACGAAACTTTGGTCACATTTTATTCTTTCCATAAGGCTCTTTCAAACCTTCCGTACAACGATAAGGGAATAATCAGGCAATAATACTTCAATCATAAGTATGATCATTAAACATATAACTAAGACGTATCGCATTGTTTTATTTTACCTGATATGATATAAGAAGTTCATTACCGTTCGAACACTACTTTACATGTTTGATATCAAGTTCGCTACTAGCTGTACTCTCAAACCACATGTATGTACATTAGACTGCATTACCAAAAAAAGTTGCGGTTTTTCCGCCGGGATTACAAAATTTATTATATTTTAAGCCGTCCACCAAAATATTTCGGAAAAATATTAAGATTTAAGTGAGCTGGACCTATTTGAAAATACCTCCAAAAATGTAGTTTTTTATGAATAAAAATAGTTTCTTAAAGAACTTTTTGAAAAAAGTCCCCTCAGATGACAAAACAGATTAAGCTTAAAAAATTTGCATAAAAATATTAAAAAATCTTTTAAACGGAATCGTAAGAATGAGATTTTTGATGCTGTTTTTTTACTTTTTTCAAAGATTGATTGAATTGAAAAGTCATTCGTGTCCCAATATTTTTTTTCAAATACCAACACATCTTAATTCAACTTTGAATGACGTTCCTTCATCCTACCTTTCCCTTTCATCCTTTTAATGAGTTTATTAGCAAAGAAATAAAAAGGTAGAGAAAATACCCTTCTAATGACACCTCCTAAGTCTAAATCGGAAGAGTTTAGTTTCAGTTATTCAAGTTTTTGTTATACCAATCTTTAAAAAAAGTTAAAAAACAGAACAAAAATCTCATCATTACGATTCCGTTCAAAATTTTTTTTAATTTTTTTAAAATATTTATCTGCAAATTTTTTAAGGTTAAGCCGTTTTGTCATTTGAGGAGATTTTTTCAAAAAAAGTCTTTAAGAAACTATTTTTATTCATAAAAAACTCCATTTTTGGAGGTATTTTCAAATCGGTCCAGCTCACTTAAATCTTAATATTTTTCCGAAATATTTTGGTGAACGTCTTAAAATATAATAGATTTTATAATTCCAATGGAAAAATAGTAGCGATTTTTTTTTGTATGGGGAGTGATTCAGTCTAATGTACATATGTATGTACATATATATGTAAAATGTATGCGCGTGAATACGTTCCCACAAATCGTAAAAGTCAGAGCAACTTTAGTATAAACCACTTGGCCGTACAAGTTAGCCAGGTTCGTTGCTCATACTTGTTTTGTCGTTCACGCTTGTTGGACGTACAGAAGTACGCGCATACATATGTACATACAAGCAAATATTTTTAAATTTGCCAACAAATTTCATAATATCAACACAATATAAAAAGCAGTACTTACCGACTGTAATTAAAAGGAGTGTGTCTAATTAAACTCGCTGANCTGCTCATACTTGTTTTGGCGTTCACGCTTGTTGGACGTACAGAAGTACGCGCATACATATGTACATACAAGCAAATATTTATAAATTTGCCAACAAATTTCATAATATCAACACAATATAAAAAGGAGTACTTACCGACTGTAATTAAAAGGAGTGTGTCTAATTAAACTCGCTGAAGCAACTATACATACTTATTATACATACATACAACTACAAAAAAAATAAGTACAAACAAGGCTAGTGTAATAAGAGTTGCAAAAACAAAAAGATTAAAAAACAAAATCAAATAAACACAACAAAGTGAATGATTGCTGCTGTGGGGAAAACCTGTGCACTACATTCGCTACTTTGCGTGTCTCGTACGTTTGCTCATTCAACGAGTGTGAAGTGAAGTGAAGCTTTATTAAGCAAAATATGTTTGAGCGCATATGTATCTACATAAATGCATAAACTATAAGACCATCAAATTATAGACATACCTACTATGCACATATTTTTAGTGTTCAATTAACAGCCACGAAAACTGCATTTAATTATTTTTTTTATGACGTTTCGCTTAAACGCGTTAAAATAATCCCCTTCACCGTTTTTGCACGCATTCGTCATACCTGCATACATACATACATACATAAATATTTATATGTACATGCATACATACTAAAAATCCAAAGCTATAGTTTTAGTTTCAAATAGTTAAAAATGATTTAACTTGACTTTGAAGCGCAGTAAATACTCAATTGTAATGGTGAGGCAACAGTGAAGTGTTAATAGTGTTACCTACATATGTACATACAAAAATTTTAATGCATGCATGTATGGGAAAATATGTATTTTTTAAAATGTATTTATCCGTTTTACCTAAAATACATATTCACTAAATACCCATAACACTCTTATACTCTTTCTTACGATACAATAAACTTCACATTTCATCCGTTTCGCCTCGCTTAACCTAAATTACATCGCATATCGATCCTGCCCTCCTGGCATTCCATCACAAACACTCGTCGCACACACAGGAGTTTATTAACGCGTCGCTGCTCCAACATTTTATCGACAAAGTTATTGGTGCAACAACAACGCTACTACCACCCCATTAATAAACTGCTCAACGCCTATAGAAGTCCACTGAACAATTCGTCGACATTCCATCAGCGGCATTGGAGCAAAGGCAGTAATAGCAGCCAGTTAAGGTAAGTAGAAAAGCGAAGGTCACTAAGGTTAGGCATTACTTACTGTTTAGTACTTTTTGTTGTTTCGGTTATTTATTTGTGTTGCCGCATTAAACACCACACTTCCTTTCGCACAATCAACAGGTTTTACCACGCAACAAAAAGGCAGCAAATACAGCAAAAACAAAAAACCGTGCGTATAAATCGTTTGCTAGAGTTTAGAACGCCAACAGCTTTTATAATGGGCTCAGCAAATTGTAAAGAAAATTCATCAAAAATCTCAATCAAAAATGAGAAGGCAGCAGCAGCGAAGGGCCAGAATGGTGAGTAATGTGCCTTATTATGGCGGTTTCGTTTCTACAAAAAAGGTGGCCTTCTCATCGCCCTCTTCTTAGTGTTTGTACGTAGAGGGCAAAGAGAAGGTTGCATTTTTCAGTAGAAACGAAATTGGCATTAGTAAGTTTTTTTTTTTATTCGTGTGTGTTTAATATCTGCCTTTTGCGAAGTCTCATAAATGTTTTTTTATACATACATACATATGTACATATGTATAAGCGATGTTAATTTTTTTCAAATTTTTGCGATACCGGGATTTTCGGGATATCGTTTATAAAATCCCTGGATTCCGGGATTTGGACATTTATTATATTTCAACAACTTAACCCGAAAAAATTGCATCAATATAGTTTGAGTAGTTCTTCCACCATATAAAAAATAATAAATAAATGGGTTTGAAACCTACATTTTTGTTTAAAGTGTAAAATATTTCATCAGTCACAAAACAAAAGGTAGTAATTAAGTTTATACGCATTTAATAATACTTTAGCGTGTACATATCTGATAAAGTAACTTAAGATATCTCGAAAAAAGCTCGATGCAAAACCAAAAAATTAAGTAAAAAAATATATTGTGTGTTTGAAAGGAATTCATAATAGTAGTGGCAGAAATTAAAGAAACGCATTATTCCAACCAGCTGCGTCTATGTTTCTTTTGTTTATTTAATATTTAAATATTTTATAAAAGTCTACCTCATTTTAGATATAATTAACTGTATATAAATACGCATTTCAAAATTTTTACAAAAATTATAAAAAATGCAAAATAAAACCATCATTTTAAACTTTTTACTCAAAATTTTTAAAGAAATTTTAGGTACGCAGTTTTTTAGCCCATTAAATTATGGTAGGATAAAATTCAATTTCAAGCAGCTTGACCCTTGATTTTTGGGGATTTTTTTTACGTTGCTGGCCATTTCTTCCATATTAACGAATTGTCGATCATAATTTGTATGGAAGAAAATTCGTGACACTGCCAGTAAANATAATTGTCATTGTCGATCATAATTTGTATGGAAGAAAATTCGTGACACTGCCAGTAAAAAAAAAACAAAAAAAATCAACGGTATTTTAGCCACTTGAAATGTGAACTCTATCGTCCGTCCTGAAATTAAATGGGCTACAAAATTGCGTACCTAGAATTTTTCTAAAAATTCTGAGTAAACAGTTTCAAAACACACCAAGCAATCTATATACTCACGACAATATGAACCAAATATAGTGAAACTACGTCTTTAGTTTTAGCATTTTTTTTAAATGACTTTATAATTTCAAGGATATGACAAACTCCAAAAATTATTTAAAAAATTCAGTGCAATGTAAAATAAAAATGGGTACCAAATGAAAAAGAAAATTCTGTAGAATTAAAGAAATAAAATAAGAAAATAAAATTTCTTGGGTTCACAAGGACGAATGGGTATTGAAAATGCCTTTTTAATTAATTTTATTTTTTTAAGCTAATAGGTTGAGAAGGGCTTTATTCGAGGATGTTGTCGAGGTTATATAAGTCCTTAACATAAAAATGTTGCAAAATAAATGTTACAAAATTTCAAGGATATTCAAGGATAAAGCTTTAAAAAGACATTGTAATACCTTATGCACCAAGAAATATAATCTCTTTTCTCTACAGAACTTTCTCTTTAATTTCTTTCTGAATTACTTACATTATTGAATTTTCAAAGTCCTTTTAAAACATCCTGACGTCAGATAGAAAAACTAAAAACGCAATTTTACTGCATTTGTTCGGCCCATAGTTTCGCGAATATATTGATTTTTTTGTGCGTAAAGTTGCCTGTCGCACGGTGTTATGTGTACGTATAATGAGCTAGACATTTATAAAAAATATTTAATATTAAATAAACAAAATAAATATAGCTAAGTCGTTTCTATTATTGCCATCAGTGCAAATTATAAATCCCGAAAATCCTGGAATCCTTGGCTTAACATCCTGTTAATTTTCGGGTATGAAAACCGTTTTTTTTTACGTTTTTGGATATGTGCAAATGAACAAAAATTGTAGTCGCTTTCCGTTCNCACGTATAATGAGCTAGACATTTATAAAAAATATTTAATATTAAATAAACAAAATAAATATAGCAAAAACTGGTCAACATAAGTCGTTTCTATTATTGCCATCAGTGCAAATTATAAATCCCGAAAATCCTGGAATCCTTGGCTTAACATCCTGTTAATTTTCGGGTATGAAAACCGTTTTTTTTTACGTTTTTGGATATGTGCAAATGAACAAAAATTGTAGTCGCTTTCCGTTCATTTCCGGATACGGAAAATTGTACGAAACTGCACTGTCGGCAAATTTTACGTTTCTCTGCTGACTGGGAAGGTATTTTTTTCATCGCCTTTCAAATTGACGTGGCAATTATCCCTGACTACTGACAATGAAAAGTTTGTCAAGTAAAAATAAAATGGAAATTTATTTAACACGGTTGTTTTCAGTAAACCTTATAAATTATCGTTTGCTTTTTTCCACTATTTTCATTTTTGTTATGCCAACACAGGCGTACTTAGCACGGTGCATAGGCAACTGCCTGAGTCAGTGGGATCGTCGGTTCGAATCCTACTGAAAGAAGTCTGATGAGGAAATGTGGTGATTTCCGAAATAGCTATCACTACTACCATTTTTCAAATTATTGTTGCTTTTCCACAATAAAAATTTTCATTAAAAAAAAACGGCCTCGAGCTCAATATAAATTGTTGAATACAACAGACTTCAATTAAAGGGAATACTCCGTGTCCATGTGAAGTAAATTTTAAGGACTGTACAGTTATTTTTTTACAATGAAACACTGAAAAATCGACCCAAAAGGTATACATAAATTACGTTGCCACAATTTATGTTTGCATACGAAAAAAATAAAACACTANTTATTTTTTTCATCGCCTTTCAAATTGACGTGGCAATTATCCCTGACTACTGACAATGAAAAGTTTGTCAAGTAAAAATAAAATGGAAATTTATTTGACACGGTTGTTTTCAGTAAACCTTATAAATTATCGTTTGCTTTTTTCCACNGTATTTTTTTCATCGCCTTTCAAATTGACGTGGCAATTATCCCTGACTACTGACAATGAAAAGTTTGTCAAGTAAAAATAAAATGGAAATTTATTTAACACGGTTGTTTTCAGTAAACCTTATAAATTATCGTTTGCTTTTTTCCACTATTTTCATTTTTGTTATGCCAACACAGGCGTACTTAGCACGGTGCATAGGCAACTGCCTGAGTCAGTGGGATCGTCGGTTCGAATCCTACTGAAAGAAGTCTGATGAGGAAATGTGGTGATTTCCGAAATAGCTATCACTACTACCATTTTTCAAATTATTGTTGCTTTTCCACAATAAAAATTTTCATTAAAAAAAAACGGCCTCGAGCTCAATATAAATTGTTGAATACAACTTCAACTTCAATTAAAGGGAATACTCCGTGTCCATGTGAAGTAAATTTTAAGGACTGTACAGTTATTTTTTTACAATGAAACACTGAAAAATCGACCCAAAAGGTATACATAAATTACGTTGCCACAATTTATGTTTGCATACGAAAAAAATAAAACACTACGCAAATACAAAACTCTGGTATGCTGATAGGCGCTGTCAATGCTCTTTCTCCAGTTTGCTTTCGCTAACAGTTCTAAAGTCAGTCAGCTGTGGAATTTTTCTCGAATACCTTTATTTTCTGCCTCACAAAAANACTGTACAGTTATTTTTTTACAATGAAACACTGAAAAATCGACCCAAAAGGTATACATAAATTACGTTGCCACAATTTATGTTTGCATACGAAAAAAATAAAACACTACGCAAATACAAAACTCTGGTATGCTGATAGGCGCTGTCAATGCTCTTTCTCCAGTTTGCTTTCGCTAACAGTGATTTGTTGGTAGGGGCGTATGAGTAATGCAGAATTACCTTTCTTTCTGCCTCACAAAAACAAAATTTATAAAATCGAATTATTTTTGTAATTTTTTCAACAAAAACCAAGTCAATAGCAAGCAGTCAAACGAGGTAATTAAATAATAAATAAGAATCATAAATACACATTGCAAGTCCGCATATAAAATTAACAAATTTTGTAATGTGCAGTGTAGCGAGAAAACAGAAAAAACAAACTAAAATTGACACATGGGATGGAGCAACGTCACGTATTAAAAAAAAAAAAACACAAAACAGCGCATAAAACGTCGAATAGAATGGCGCAATAAATTGCAATAAAACAATCGTAGAATTGTTGCGGTTATTGGTTTTGCTTTATCGCTTGTACAAGCGCTTAATTAATTTTTCATTTTCTATTTTTTATAACTAAAGTATTGTGTGTTATCTTGCCACTTTTTGCCAAGTAAATATCGCACAAGGTTATTGAAACGTGAATGGTAATTGTTTTAACAAACGAAATTCGCCGGCTCGCTGGCTGGCTGCCTTTGATTTGTTGGTAGGGGCGTATGAGTAATGCAGCTGGTTGTCGTGTTAGTGCAGTGCTGCAAATTGAAAAATGAAAAACTGCAGACTGAAATTTAGAAAATAAAATAAAACAAAAGTAAATAAAGTGAAAAAAAAATAAAAAATAAAATAAATGAAATAAGATTAAATAAAGTAAAATAAATAAAAATATAATAAAATAAAACAAAACAAAATGTACATACATATAAAACAAGTAATTGTTAAGCGAAAAACACATACGTCTTCAATTCAATATAAAACTTTGGGAGTACCGATAAATTCTTCATAATGCAATAATTGGATGTAAACCAAATTAGTATGGGACCACTCTTGCAGTACCACCGTTTCGATAAAATAATAATAATTATTGAAATCAAATCAAGTGGACCAAAGTTATTCGGTAACATACAAGAAAAAAATTTATATTGCTCTTTATGAAGTGGGTTAATGGCCTAAAAATGCAATATCTGTATATTTTCGGCAGTGAAAATGACTAATCGAGTTTTCGGCGTGTTTTCAAAAAATCCGAATCACTAGGAGAATCCATAACAAAAACCAGTTTATTCGTCACATGCAAACCAAACACGCAATGCGATAACACGCTCGTTAATACATATTAATTTATGATCAGAAGTACATATCGCTCATTTTCTTTAATAGTGTCAAAACTCAAAAGAGCAAAACTCGAGATACACGACTTTAAAGTTCTGAATTTACATATGTACATATATCCCCATAGTAAAAATGATAACATATTTTGTTCTAGTGAGATATTTGTAATCGATAGAGCTGTGAAATTTTTACACAACATACTAGAAGAAGAATTGGCGGTAATTTCTGCGTACTTAACAAATTTTTTGTATTTTTTTGGATTATGGCATCATTGAAGTTAATGAGCGCTATGTACATATGTACATATGTATGTATGTAGGTACATTAGTAGGTCGCCCTCTGCTTATTTGGTCGCACAATAAACCAACAAAAATAATGTCGTAATCATGTCCAAAGAATACTTGCAATGCTGATAAACCGGTATTTACTTTGACGCTCCGGGGTCGGTGAGACATTTTAAGATAATAATTGTACTAAATATATTCAGTTCTTAAGATCACTTGGTGCTGAGAAGTTGTGAAAGTGGAGGGAAAGTAATGATTTTTTCTGGTATGTTTTCCGTAAATTAGCTTGTGGTTCAAACTGTTTCCTATAAGAGAGTGAGGGCAATGTTAAAATAAAAAATAAAATCCAAATATATCGGGTATGTTAATGCTTAAAAAATGTGACCGTTTAATCTGTGAACTTCAATGAGCCAATGAATGTTTCCTTTCACTTTTTGCCAATTAAATTTGTAACAAAAAACTTTACAAGTCGAAATGCGCCATTGTTAATGCTTTTATTATGCCAATTGTTAAGATTTTATGAGGTGTAATCACATACACCGTACATACATATGTATGTACATATGTACATACATTTCAATGCACATTAGGGTTACCCTTAATTATATGGAGAAAAATAAAAGAATTTGGATTCTCAATCCCATATAAATGTGCGAATAGCCTGAAGATTTAACCATACAAAGTTTTAGGTTAGTCAAAAACGATTTAATAGTAACTCAAATCGCTCACAATTTTCCGTGTATTTTATATGAGGAATAAACAATGTTTCGTTGAAATGGTATAGAATTATTGAAAATCAATATTTTTCGATAAGAAAATTCTTTTTCTCTTCATGAGACTTCCAATTATAATAACAAATTTTTTACCTAACAATTTTATAATAGTGTCTATTTTTTATAAGTCCCCAAAAAAAAAATAGACACAATTAAAAAAATTGCTAAACAAACAGCTATGTAGGTGTTATTATTGGAAGTCTCCAGAAGAGAAACAGATTTCCGATCGAAAATAATTGAGTTTCAAGAATTCTAAACCATACGAAAAATTGTTTGTTTCTTTTTTTTTACTTTTTATTCGTTTATTGACTTTTTCTCTTTTGATATGATATAGTTTGTAAGTGTTGCCTAATGTTATTTGTCAGGCTAAGTTTGATTTACTACGTACTGTTTACCTGTTAAACCGCATGTGATACTATTTTTTACCCTGACAAGTGAAGTAATGGGTTCTTTTGTATCTGTGGCAGCATAGCCGTTTGGATGATTAGCTTTATCTCCGATGCTACCAACAAACAGATATTTAAATGATAGGTTTCAGATTAGCAGATAAAAGTAATCCTTCAAAAATAACTATTATGGGTATTGTGTGTATTTCGTGACGGGCGTGGCATTAAAATATGCTTTGCCTCGATATTTAATCAAATTTTCAGTATTTACTTGCTCGAAAAACTTGAAAATTATCTGTTATAATAGTTGTGTTCTTGTAAAAATTACCCAGTAACTTGCCAGCAACTCTCCAGTAACTTAACTTCTGAGAATTCGCTTTCATAGAAAAAATATCCAAAAAAGTACGTGAACGCAAATCTATTAATAATTTNCCTCGGTTAAAACTGATATTAAACCCGATAAGACGACTTTATTCAAGCTCATCTTCGATAGGCGACAATTTCTTCACAAATTGTGGTTCTTATTGCATAAGTGCTGTGTTATGAAAGGTCATTTAGAGCTTCTGTTAACAAAGCGATTTTATCCTTTAATCTGGGATGAGTCCACGTAATTTTAAAGAACCAAGTAGTGCTTGAACATTGGACTAAAATGAAGCGAACTTAACGATTTTTCTGTTGTTGTAGCGTCTACACATTTTTAAATGCATCTAATTTTTTTCTCTCGTCCAACTTCAGGTTCATATCAATCTACCAGCGACATGTCGGAATATACCAACGCCGTCGAGGTATGCCACATCGACGATCTGCAGGAGAATGAAATGAAGCAATTCAACTTCGATGCGAACACACCGGTATTGGTGGTGAAGCAAGACGGTCAGATATCAGCCATCGGTAATAAATGTACGCATTACGGCGCCCCCTTGCACACCGGCGCGCTGGGTCAGGGACGCATACGTTGTCCATGGCATGGTGCCGCTTTTTGCACACGTACCGGTGATATCGAAGATTTCCCTGGGCTCGATTCGTTGCCATGCTTTATGGTACGCGTTGAAAATGACGGTAAGGTGAAGTTACGCGCCAAGCGCGCTGATTTGGAGAAAAATAAGCGCTTGAAGAATATGGTGAAACGTGATAAAGCGAATAAGCAGTGTATCGTTGTTATTGGCGGCGGTCCGGCAGGAGCAACCTGTGTAGAAACGTTGCGCCAAGAAGGCTTTACCGGCCGCATTGTAATGCTATGTCGCGAGGAAATCTTGCCTTATGATCGTATCAAAGTATCCAAGACACTGGGAATCGCGGCGGAAACGATACAATATCGAGATGCCGATTTCTATGCCCAATATGATATTGAGGCATTGCTTGGCGTGGAAGCGACCAAAGTCGATACGACTGACAAGAAGGTACATTGCTCGAATGGGGATGAGATCAAGTATGATCAGCTTTTTATCGCTACTGGCTTGAGAGCTAAGCGCCCGCCAGCCAAGGGAACCGATTTGAAAAATGTATTCACTTTGCGTGAGCTCTCAGATGGTAAGGCCATAGTTGACGCCGTAACACCGGAAACAAACCTGGTCTGCGTAGGTGGCAGCTTTATTGCAATGGAGGTGGCTGCAGCGTTGGTCTCGAAAGTTAAATCGGTAAGTAGGGGTGAGGGAAAAATGCAGCGATTAAGTTTAGATGGATTAGAGGTTTTTGAGAACAGAAATGTTTTTGAATTATGCTTTTATCTCAGTCGATGGCAGCCTACAGGGTTTAGTAGTTAGGATGGTTTTGAGAGTTGATAAAGGAGAAAAGATGTCCAATGCGATAAATTGGTGTTTCCAATTGACGAGTTGGAGTCGGTGGCGAAGTTTGAGAAAATAACAAAGGCTGTCTTGAGTCACATTATTTTTATGTTTTTTCCATATATTTTAAATCCAATCAAATTGCATCTTTTTACATTTCTCCCCTTTCCCTCCATAGGTAACGGTACTATACTCAGGCGAATATCCCTTCCCCTATTTCGGCGAGGCTGTGGGTGAACTTTTCTACCGTCTATATCGTGAGAAAGGCATCACAATGAAGAGTCAAAGCAGACTTTCTGAGTTGTACGGCAATGACGAGGGGGCTGTCACTGAAGTCGGACTTATCGATGGCAGCAAGGTGCCATGTGATGTTGTTGTCTTGGGTACTGGTTCCAGCTTTAACACAGATTTCCTCAAAGGTTCAGGCATCAAAGTTAACGCCGACGGCTCAATTGACACTGACATGCATCTCATGACAAATGTAATCGATGTTTATGTAGGCGGTGACATTGCCAATGCACCCATAATGGCCAATGCCAATCAACGCGGTGCTGTTGGTCACATACAATTGGCGCAATATCACGGCCGTGTGGCCGCGCTCAATATTACGGGCACCATAGAGGATTTGCGTGCGGTGCCCTTCTTTTTCACAATGATTTTCGGCAAGGGTATACGTTATGCTGGTCATGGCAATTTCTCGGACACGCTGATCAAGGGTGACTTGAATGGCTTCAAATTCGTTGTATACTATCTCGATGCGCACGGAAATGTGATAGCCGTTGCAACGATCGGTCATGATCCGGTAGTATCACAATATGCAGAGTTACTGAGTCAGGGAAAGCGTTTGCATCGCTCCCGAATAGAGAGTGCAGAGGATCACTTGGAGTGGACGAATATGTTGAAGGAGAAGAAGGCGCGAGTGTCGAATGAGTGCTGAACGAGCATTTAAATTAATTGTATATTTGTAAATGTGTAACATTGGTATTTATTAGTACAATTTTGTAAAATTATTTGCAAAGAATTCGCAAACCAAGTATTGAAACTAAAACTAATAATAATACATATTGCTATTCGAAAGGTAAAATATATGTTAATACAAACAAACTTTGGAAGTTAGGTGGGAGGATTTCAGAATTGAAAAAAAAACTAAAATTTAAACAAGTATTCTATAACAGCAATTAATTTTTAAGCAAAAAACAAAACCGACTTCAATTCTCATAATATATATATATATATATTATATATATATATATATATATTATATATATATNGTATAAAAAAACTTTGGAAGTTAGGTGGGAGGATTTCAGAATTGAAAAAAAACTAAAATTTAAACAAGTATTCTATAACAACAATTAAAATTAATTAAAATTAATTGTTGTTATAGAATACTTGTTTAAATTTTATATTTTTTTTTTTTAACCAATGATCGAATCTAAACCAGATTAGTATGGGACCACCTCTGAGACACTACCTTTCCGATGCAAAAAGAAATTGAAATCGGTTGACCAAAAAAAAATAACAAAAACAAAAAAAATATTCCGACGAACTGATAACCTCCTCCTTTTTCGGAAGTCGGTTAAAAAACGTATAAATCCCATTTTTTAATTTCATAAATATTACAAAAAAAAAGATGTGCTATCATAATGACCTGCAGTGAATAATGTCGAATTTCCACTGATAAAAAACTGGAGGCATTTAAAAAATGGAAATAAACTTAATTACTATTTTTTTAACGTAATAAAAAAAATATTTTTAATGCCCAAGTTTGTCATTACAATTTTTGTCATTTAATGCCAAAGTGAAAAATATTTTTAGAAAACTTTGGATATACAGTTTTGTAGTCCATTCAATTTTAGTAAAATAGAGTGCTAGTTTCAAGTGGCTGTAAAGTAGCGTATTTTCTTCCATATAAAAATTTTGTCGATCATACTTGGTATGGAAGAAAATGGATGACACTGTCAACAAAAAAAGTTTCAAAAATCAACGACATTTTGTAGCCACTTGAAACTTGTACTTTATCGTACTTAATATTACAAAACTGCATATACGAAATTTTTCTAAGAATATTAAGTTAGGCACATTAAACTATTCACTTATTGAATATTAAATACTAAGGTACCCTATTTAAATGAGTGGAGGAGTGTACGTTCTAAATATGAAACAAATCGGACCATAAATACGGAGTTTATAAACACCTCGACTCCTGCGCCATATTTCAGGCAAAATTTTTCTGGAGTTGTTCCTTTTCATGTAAGTAATACACATTTTAAAGTTAAAGGGTTCATGTTCGGACTATAAATACAGGATTTTTTAATATCTAGACAGCTGCGTCATCTTGCGGATTACTTAATATTCTCATCGGGTTAGGGGCTAACNCCTATCAGGCAAAATTTTTCTGGAGTTGTTCCTTTTCATGTAAGTAATACACATTTTAAAGTTAAAGGGATCATGTTCGGACTATAAATACAGGATTTTTTAATATCTAGACAGCTGCGTCATCTTGCGGATTACTTAATATTCTCATCGGGTTAGGGGCTAACTTTAGGGTTCCAAGCCTCTAGCTCATCGGAAAATTGATTCCAAGATTTGATTCCACGCAGATGAAACTTAATACAAGTTTGTTAAAAAGGAAATAGATCGTAGTCGGACAGTGGGCCCTAGGATGGATTCTAACCTTTAATGAAAAAAACAAAAAAACACTTCTCATAGTTTGTTGTTGTTTATAAAGCAAAAAAAAAACAGAAGTGGTTAACGTTAAATCGTTCCAATCTTCTTGGCTACCCTGTATCAATAACACTGTGAGACAAATGGTAGGGGTCAGTGATCGGAAAGGGTTCAAACTACCGGGGAAAGTTATATCGGTAAAAAAGAAGTTATACGTGTCCCGGCGTTTCGCTGGGTCACGTCTAGGAATCGAGATATATCGATTTGAAGTTAGTAACTATCATATAGGGGAAATTGTCACCTTTGGTGGTCTTTTTTTTNATTGTTAGATCAAAGCCGAATGTTCGGTTCGGCTTCGGCCAAAAAATCTACCTTCGGTCAGACTTTAGTAAGGACATACATTTTATTATTGAATTGAATTAGGTGTGGCACGCTTTTTCACGTGTAAATTATTCATAGCTCAGATGTGTGATGGGAATGAAGAAAATTTTTAATAATTTTGACCAAGAAAAAATTTATTCACTTTAACATTAAAAAAGTGGCTAAAAAAGTGGCTAGTGGCTAAAATAAATTTTGGTGGCAAAACAAAAAGAGACGATGGCTAAAACCAAAACCACCAAATGGCTAAAACGCCAACATTGGAAATACCTAAGTGATAAATCTATAGCTTGGTATCCTGCTTTTAACCTCAGAACTTAATTTTGACAGATACATAGTTGCGAGCAATATGATTGCAAGTTTTTGTATTACAGCTGGAAAACTATCGAAGGCACTATCGATAGTATCGATGGTTTTTGACTATCGAAAACATCGATGGTTTTGTAAGCACTATCAATAGTTTTCACTCATACATACATTAATCAGTAACATACATATTTCAGAGCAAAGATGCTGTTTGAAGCCAAAAATCGTCGATAAACTTTTATTCCTTAACAAAAATATCGACATACTTATTTTAGAAATTCTGATCCCATTTTCAATAAAAGTTGTTATGTTTAAATTTTGGACTCTTTAATCAAAACTATAGATAGTCAGGGCTATCACAGAATCCATCGTAGCTTCGATTTTTGTGAAATCTACGAAAGTGCTATCACAGAATCCGAATAGCTACGAACGTAAATTCGAAATTCGTAGAGCGCCTTCATTGAATCCGTTCGTAATGAAGATTCGTACAGATACTCTACGACGAGATTATGCTGTCGGAACAAAATTTAAAATCACTCAATCTTAAAAATAGTGGAAAAAAGCTGCATTATTTTTAATATTAAATATTTATTATACTCCAAGTTTGTTATAATTTGATATAATTCCATATATTTGTGTAAACGTAGACGTAAAATACCAATGCTATACATACATACATATGTCCATACACGCATTCATCTGCTAGGCGCTATTTAATGAATTAATATTTTGCATGAATCGAGGAAATAATAGTTTAGCAACAATTTATTAGGAAATAAACCTAATTACTTCAATATCATAAAAATTTATTTAAAAAAAAAAATTTATATTTAAAATAATAACATCTAAGCTAAAATTAAACCCAAAAAAAAAATATTTATTAAAAAAATAACAAAAATTAAATAAAAAAAGAAAAAAATCTCCACTGCCCGACGACTCGGACTCGAACCCGGATCTCTCAACTAGCAGTCTAGTGCTTTGCCCACTCGGCCATTGTGACTTCTGGGGCAGCGTGAGCAAAATGGCATACGTAAATGTCTATTATTTCTTTTGCACTAGCTAATTTCGAATCAGCATTCGAAGCTGGCAACGATATTTTCGAGTTCACTCGGATTCAGTGATAGCAATTTTTTCGTATTCGTAGCAGGCATTCGGATTCGTAGATTTTCTACGATGGATTCCATGATAGCCCTGAGTACTATCGATAGTGTCGACATTTTCGATAATATCGATGGCTGTGACTATCGACTATCGTGGTCGTGGCCATCGATAGTTTTCCAGCTCTATTTTGTTTGTTCGCACTTTGATGTCTTGATATATGTATATCCCTGAATAACTTTGTTCGCTTCCCCAATTACGATCGCGAATTACCCTATTGCCACGGGCACATTCTTAATTCGATTTGGCAGTTCTCTGTCTCAGTGTTGTGTCTCTTCTTTCTTCACTACAAAATTTTAAGTTATTGCTAAATATTTCTAAGTTTCCGTATTAAGTTATTGATGTAAACATGTATAAACTTTTCTTTTCGTACTCAGAAAAAGTGTCAGCTTTGATTTGTGAACTGGTTCCGATAAATTCCAGTTAAAAATTAGAGACGGTAGCGATTTGTTCGTAATTCGCATGGTAATTGCATTCCGCTACTTTGGGTTTGCCGATTTTTAAAGTCTCGATGTTCGTAAACAACGTCTAAAAAATTTAAATGCACTGAAATTCACTATACTTTCAATAAAATCACAGTTTTTCACATTTCCTTACTAATTTTTTTAAATATCATATATTTTCACAATTTAAAGCAATCAAAACACGTTTCCTATCGAAAAATTGAATATTAAAATAAACTACTCACATTCTCTTTTATTCTCCTATTCGGCTTCGCTACTTCAAACGTGTTTTAATTGTGCTAAGTTGTAAAACTATATATTTTACAATAAGAATTAATAAGGAAAATGTGAAAAAATTGTGATTTTTGTGCAAATATTAGCTCTGATCCAGTACTCCAGGATTTTACACGAACTTGCAGGAAGTTACAGGAAAAATTTTCCCGTACTCCAAAAGCCTCCAAAATCCTGTAAATGAGAGCGACTTTTGGAGAGTTGTGTAGAGAATGAAGTTGCAAGATTTTACCCGAACTTTTTCTTCTGGTAAAATCATGAAAAGTGGTTGACGTTTTTACAGGAAAAATGGTTTTTTTGTTCCCGTACTTTTTGTTGTTACTCACTTTTTACTCTCACTTCAGAGAGTAATTTTGCTGTTTGACAGTTTTACAGGACTTTTCACGAAAAGTATTGGATCAGAGCTATTAGTTAATTTTAGTGCATTTAAAGTTTCTGAGGCGTTGTTTACTTATAGACCAGAAATGTCAAAATCTGCAAAACCAAAGTAGCGGTATGTCGGATGTCACTGACAACGCCGTATTGTGTTTGCTGCGGCAGTGACTGCCAATATTAGCAGAACCGCTGATTTTAAAAAAACTGTTACTGCCACTGCGCTATTGTATTTTTGGGCTTATGTTTCGTACTTTTTGCGGCGTGCATGTGCGGGATCTGGTATGTGTCGTCAAACAAGCGAGATTTGCATGCACGTGAAGACGGCTGGTAAGGTCAGATTCCTGCCCAACACTGACGTCCTTAATTTTTCCCCATAGTAGTATCTTTTTCAAACGTCAACATCGCTAACTGTCAAAAAATCATCTAAATTCACAATTAATCAAACGCAACGAAGTTGGATTTCTTTTCTGCTGTGCTGACCAAACGCCCAATAATTTTTTTTTCTAATTTACCTATTGTGTGCGAGTGTGATTTTCTTTATAAAATCCACATAACATTCCAAAGATCAGGACAGCGACAATAGCCTGGAATATATTTCGGCAGTGTGCGCAACGTTATAAGCCAGCAGTCAGAAACGATGAATTTTCTCGGATTTGGTCAATCGGCCGAGATCGATATAATTTTTGACGGTGCGGAGAACAGGAAAACAGCCGAGGTCAAAGGAGAAGATGGAAAAATTGAAAAAATGCTACTATATTATGATGGCGAAACTGTGTCGGGCAAGGTAAGTGCATTAATTTAATGAAAACAAGCGCGTATGTACGTTCATATAAATTTTATGGAGGGGGAGTATTAAGCAATGAGAGGCATACGGGGCACTAGTGACGATGCAAGACTGACTAACGACTAGTTGCTAAGGTGGCTACAACCGGCAATTGGACTAATTTGTTTGCCATTTGTTTGTAATATCTTGCTTTGGAAACTAATTGGAATAGGATAGGAAAAACTGTTTTAATAAAAATTGCATTGACGTTATCAGCTAGAGTAGAGGTACACGTACATATGTTTGGATTTTATTAATGTTCGAACCGAAGTTTGCGAGGTTCAGAGGCAGCAGAGTTTGCTTGAGCATTTCTAGTGCAGCGTAGCCAGCTGAAACTAATTTTTGATTTGTATAAAAAAGTTAAAACTATAACGTAGGCCAAAGGTAGAAATTTAATTCATATATGTTCAAACAATTTTTTTCTAAAAAGTGGTGTTACAAACAAAATCGTATTAAGGACAACGCTAACGCCTTTGTCCCTGTGGACCCACCCCATTGAGGCTGCACGCTTCTTCCGTTAGTGGAGCTTGACGACAACGACTGAGGTATTAACTGATCTCGAATAGATGTAATAAACTTTTCATAACGTACTTCATTGTAATCTTCTAAACGTTCCAAGTAATTGCTACTNAAATTTAATTCATATATGTTCAAACAATTTTTTTCTAAAAAGTGGTGTTACAAACAAAATCGTATTAAGGACAACGCTAACGCCTTTGTCCCTGTGGACCCACCCCATTGAGGCTGCACGCTTCTTCCGTTAGTGGAGCTTGACGACAACGACTGAGGTATTAACTGATCTCGAATAGATGTAATAAACTTTTCATAACGTACTTCATTGTAATCTTCTAAACGTTCCAAGTAATTGCTACTTTTGTTCTAACGCAGGTAAATGTAACACTCAAAAGGCCTGGCAGCAAACTCGAACATCAAGGCATAAAAATCGAATTCATTGGGCAGATCGAGCTGTTTTATGACCGCGGCAATCATCATGAATTCAAATGCATTACGAAGGCTTTAGCCCGTCCGGGTGATCTTATTCAAAACCACAGTTACCCGTTCGATTTTCAAAATGTCGAAAAGCAATTTGAGGTGTACGCTGGTTCAAATGTACGTCTGCGTTATTTCTTACGGGCGACCATTGTACGTCGTATCAGCGATATTACGCGCGAAGTAGACATCGCAGTACACACACTTTGCAGTTATCCAGAAATGAATAGTCCTATTAAAATGGAAGTGGGCATTGAGGATTGCCTGCACATCGAATTCGAATATAATAAAAGTAAATATCATTTGAAAGATACTATAATCGGTAAGATATACTTCTTGTTGGTACGCATTAAAATAAAACACATGGAAATTGCAATTATTAAACGCGAATCTACTGGCACCGGTCCAAATATGTTCACCGAGAACGAGACAATTGCCAAATATGAAATAATGGATGGCGCCCCGGTGAAAGGCGAGAGCATACCGATACGCGTGTTTCTTGCCGGCTATAATTTGACGCCAACAATGCGCGATATTAATAAAAAATTCTCAGTAAAGTACTTCCTAAATTTGGTGTTAATGGACACGGAAGATCGCCGATACTTCAAACAGCAAGAAATAACGCTTTGGCGCAAAGCAGATATACCGCGTTACCACAACCAGGGCCAGCAGCAACATACCAGCATGGTGCATTCACATCATCCGCAACATGCGCACTCACATCTCGTTGGTGGCCCCACTGTGCCCAATATGACCAGTGTTGGCAGTGGTACGAACGCTACTGGTATGGATAGTGATTCGAGCATAACGGGTACTGCGCCTGAGAGCAAAATGGGCTTATTTACACGCGAGAGTCCAAGCCAAGAGTTCACTCAACAAGTGGATTCATTACCAACTTCACCAACAACACCGCCACCACCAGTAGAACGCGGCATCGGTGATGGTGCGGCTGCAACCAATACATCTCCTGTCATGCTATCCACTACACCCCCACCATTGCCCCCCGTGTCGGCCACAACAGCGGTGCTCGGCGTTCAGCCGGTTGCGGATGACTTTGTGGGTGCGGAAACGCAACCTATAAATGCTGCAACAGGTGCAGCGCCACTACGATTGACTCCAGATATTGAGGACGGCATGACAAACATTTCGCTTGCACCCACGGATATAGATGTTGAGATAGTGAGTTCAAAACCGGACGCCAACGCTGTGGAAAGAACGCAAGAATCAAAGAAGCGCGAAACTGCTGCACCACTTATTGCAGACTGAAGCCGCCAGGGTTTACTCAACAAACAAGAAGTGCTGCAAGTGCTTAAAGTCCAAACTTCGAAAGCGATTCGCCTAATTAGTATGCCCGCGCATTGTTGGTTGGCTATTATCCTATTACACACATGTTTGTAGTTCCCTTAGTTGGCGTTTCGACGCCGGCTTCTCAAACAGCACACCAATTCATATTCGTTTAATTGCAAGTATGCATATTGTTCGTTTAACCAAATCCACGACCTGTCAGGCAGGTTTTGCCATTCACTTCGGAGTGAATTTCAAATTTGTTTTGAATTCAAATTGACAGGGGTTGAAATTGACTCGAAAGCGAATTACAGTACCAGCCTGGTTTTATCTATTTTTCTTGTAGACTAAAATATCCTGATTATATATAAAAAGATCGCTGTTTTACTATTTTCCATTTATATTGAAACTATAAATACTGCATTAATCTTACTTTATTTGCATTAATATTTTACCTTTATTTCTTTTAAAGTTCTACTCTAAAGCAAAAATGTTACGCGCTACGCGATGTAGTTTATGGTTAAAAACGAAGAATATCTTTGAACAAAATTATAAAGAGATATTTGTATCTTGTAGAATATAAGCAAATCGTATATAAAATATATAATGTATTAAACAATTTATTAATAAACATAGGAAACACTATTTCAAATGTGATGACTCATTTGACCAAGACCCAGTATACTCGCTATAAAAACACGACGGTAAAATTTTGCGAGTCTTTCGAGACGCACCTTCCTTAACATCAGCATCAGGACATCATCAGCACGTTCATTACCAAACAAATATATATTCTCGACTATCAACTTGCATTTTATTTTATTTTTATTTCTTTATATTTAAAAGTAAAATAGAAATATGCTTTTAATCCTAATTCGCAACTTAATCCCAGGCTTCTTTGACTTTCAAATGTTCCAGTCGCTCCTCGATTGTTACGTGTGGTTTCATTTTGTTCAGGGTCTGTCGTTCATTCCACATCGTCAGTTTGGCTTCGGTTTTGCCCAACTCCTTGGCATGTCCTGATGACTCCTCCTGTAAAACACCGAATGTGCCCATTAGATTTTGTAACAGTAAAATATATAATTTAATTTACCACTGTCAGGTACGGATGTCGTAGCCATAACATATTTTGCTCCTGTCTTTCATAATCACGCCGGAGTGTTTCCATTGCTCGCTTACTAACCGGTTTTATGAAACGCCTTTTCCCACGGAAAATGTGACCGGGTACAGTTTTCTTAAAAAAGTTTATTAACGTTAACTGCATTGTTTGGAAACTGGTAATTACAATAAATTTTTTTAGATTACTTGCACGAGCTGTGCAGCAAACAGCTGATTAAATAGTTATTCAAAGAATGTACATTGAACACACTGCGGTGACGGCGGGTATTCAAATAATCCATTGTGAATGATTAAAAAAAATATATATATTTTTTATACCCCTCAAACAAGCTATACAACTGAGCAAAGGTCTTTTTTTTTGGAAATCCAAGAAACATTGCCTGGTAAGTCTTTACCGTTATGCAAAACTCTTTTGTGAAAAATGTTAAAAACTTTATGTATTTGCCTAACAATAAAAACATTCAACAATTCTAATTATTTCAACTTAAATGCGGTTAGTTGTCTTGTTATCAGTGTAACACAGGAGCGCCGTCCGTCTCTTTATTATAAAATCGGTCCATATAGTGCATGATTTCAAATCCAACTTCCACCATAATCAAAATAATTATCATCCATTCCAAACGAATGTGATGTGCGTCATTCAAATTGTGCGATATTAACTCTGCCAATTCTACACAGTGATTAATCTTCTCATTCATCACTTTTGTTCGCCGTGAAATACTGAAATATGAACAAACTTGCAGGTACAATGCTTCCAACTCTTCACGATCCCAATAAAAATCTGGTGTGTCCAACAAATCCGATGCCAAGTTGATCTCGTGCCGTAAAGCAAAGAGTTCTCCTGTTTTACGCAACACCTCGGCACGGGACATGCGTATGCGTCGTCCTCGTTTCAGGTCATCTGTGAGATATTCGATTGAATCAATATAACGATCGAGCATGGCTTCCCACATGCCCAGTTTTATTGAAGTTGCCATTGCGTTGGAGAATGTGTACTTCTGCAGAAAATTATCACCCTCGGGCGCGAGGAAAAATTTGCCATTGTGAAAGAAAGCACGTGCGACTTCCGTATCTGACGCAGATACCAAGTCTCCTTCCACATCAACCGCAGTTGATGGAATGTACATGTAGGGCATCACCTCGCTTTCCCCGCGAACTAGTGGGCTTAAATAAGGGTCCTTCTCGTACGGACGCAAAAATGATAACAAATTATTGGTTTCAATGTCATTGAAATTCCACAATACCACTGATCCTTCGCGAAAGATAATTATATCCCGTGCCTCCTTGCCTACAGGATATTTCGCTGAAGCGTACAGCACATTCTGTTCCAGGCCGAGATTATCTGTGGAGAAGTATTTTTTGACAGTGTACAAATTCTGTTCGTTTAAACCTTTCATGAGTGCCTCCAGATCATATTCTTCGGCAGTTGTAAATGCAGACACGTTGAAGAAACCCTCCGCGGACAAGTCTTCGAAGAGGTGGTCATCCCACTTCTTGCGAACGGTGCGTTTCTTAAGAACTTGCGCTACCGAAGCACCTGCTGCCGCCTGTTGTGCCGCTTTTCGACTGTGTGTCAATGGTGTTGGAAGCTTCAACTCAAATTGCTTCGGTTTTGATTCAAATTGCGTCAGAGATTTCTGTGAAGCACGCTGGACATTGCCAAAGGTGATTTGCCGATAGAAGATTCCAGTCACCTTCTGCGTTAAGCCTGTGCCTCCAGCGCTTCTAGTAAATATAAGACGTGCAAAATTCATGTTCTTGAGGAAATTTTAGTTTATTATTGATTTAGACTTTTGTAAATTTCATAATCATGTGCACTTCTTAACAAAAAAATCTACAGCCGGCTTCCAACAAAAAGATGGTGAGGTAAGTATGTTCAGTTAATGACCGGTTGAACAAAAACTCCTTTTATTTTTGTTGTAAATAAGTACTAAATTCACCGTGAACTTTTATTGTGTATTGTATTTTGCGGGCGTCAGACAGTGATCAGAGATTTGTAAACAAATAATAAAAAAAAGTTAGCGTAAGTTTGGGTTTTTATTTTTAAACGAATCAGTAATCAATATTAACTGATGTTTACTTAATTTGAAGGTGAAGCATTCATTGAATCTGGCAAAAATGAAAGTTGCAGTAGAGGGTTGTGCTCACGGTGAGCTGGAAAAGATTTATGAAACAATACAGTGCCTTGAAAATGAGGAGGGCTACAAAGTGGATTTGTTACTTTGTTGTGGAGATTTCCAAGCTACACGTAACTTGGACGACTTACAGACAATGGCAGTGCCACCAAAATACTTGGACATGTGCTCGTTTTACAAGTGAGTATCACATATATATGTACATTTATAAAAATGTAGTTTAAAAATATACTAATTAACGTAAGTAAAAACAAACATTTTATTTTATAGATACTACAGTGGTGAGCTAGTTGCACCAATCCTTACAATATTTATAGGGGGTAATCACGAAGCATCCAATCATCTGCAGGAACTACCGTACGGTGGCTGGGTAGCACCGAACATCTACTACTTGGGCTATGCTGGTGTTGTAAAGGTGAATGGCATACGTATTGCAGGGTTGTCGGGCATTTATAAAGGACATGACTACTTGCGTGGGCGTTTTGAATTTGCTCCCTATACGGACACTACGCGCACAAGCGTTTACCATGTTCGCCAACTCGAAGTGTTTCGCCTGAAACAACTTTCCGGTACCATCGATATATTCATGTCACACGATTGGCCACGTGGTATATACAACTATGGCAATAAGTCACAATTAGCGCGTTTTAAACCACATTTTCGTGATGAAATGGATAAAGGTCAACTGGGTAGTAGGCCTTGTGAGGACTTGCTTAAGTTGCTAAAACCCAATTATTGGTTTGCGGCACATTTGCATTGCAAATTTGCCGCCGTGGTGCCGCATGATGAAGTGGAGGATAGCAGCGGTGAAGCTGATGAAAGTAGTAATGAAAATCATAGCTCGAAGGACAAACCAGTCGGCGAGGATAAAGATGAGCGTATTACCAAATTTCTTGCATTGGACAAATGCTTGCCTAAGCGTAGATTTTTGCAGTTACTCGACATTGAAACACCCGAATTTACAGAGGGTGAAGTGCGCCTCGAATATGACCTTGAATGGTTAACTATTCTACATTTAACAAATCATTTAACGAATGTGAAAAGTTCAAAGTATTATCTGCCGGGCCCACAAAATGCAGCAAGTACTGAGCGTTACAACTTTGTACCCAATCGCGACGAAATGGAAAATGTTCGGAACAAGTTTGCTGCAGATTTACTGATACCCAAGAATTTTTCACGTACAGTTGAACCCTATAACGCTAGCGAAGCCAATAGAGAACATGTGTCACAGCCAAAAGCGCAAATTAATCCACAGTCACAAAATTTCTGCGATGCTTTAGGTATTGATGATCCTGTTAGTCTAGCACTAATTATAGGCGGGCATGAGCTCAGCTATTCCAGTGCGATGAACGAAAGCACAGATACAGAGTTCAACGATTCTACAGCATCAATGCAAACGGAACAATCCAGCTTGAATATATCGAGCAGCACTGGAGATGCGCTGTCGCCGCGACAAATCAGTCCTTTCAAGCGAAAAAGTAGTTTAGGTTTAAATTTGCCCAAACCCATAGTGGAGATCGATAGTGCAATAGGTGAAATTTGTGAAGAGAAGAATCCCGATGAATTACAGCTGGGTAATAGTTCTGCTGATGAGACAGATAATGAGGCTAAAGTGGCGGAAGATGTTAACGAGGAAGATAGTGGAGCGATTGCTTTGAATGCAAAACCGCCCATTAAGAAATTCAAGCGTCGAAATCAAAGCGTATATATGAACGAAGACAAGGAAGATGAATCAGGGTAAAAGTCATGCGTTCAAGTAAATTTAATTATGCGTAGGCAGAAAAGCAGATGTATAAGTTTTTAAATCAATGAAATTAGAAGTGTACGCATTCATATTTAACTAAATTCATTCGATAAAAATACCTATGTATGAATTTTACATTATCATAAATCCCACAAGTCCAACTTAATTAAATTCGAGCTATAATTATTTGAAAACATAGTTTGTCACATATACTCTTAAACCACATATTATTAATATTTAGCTAATAACACTGCATTAATTTTACTTTTTAAAATTAAACAATTTTGGTAGAACATCCCCGCATTTGGCGGACAATTTCAAATCCGCCAAATGATCGGCACGCGTTTCGCCAATATTTACAATAGCCAATGGCAATTTGAGGTCCTTTGTTTGCAGCACCATTCGATAGCCAGAAAACACAAGCAAACTAGAACCGAGCACCAATAGCCCATCGCTATTATAAATCATCTCTGCAATGCGTTCGATGCGTTGCTTTGGAACATTATCACCAAAGAATACAATCTCTGGCTTTACATTTCCGCCACATTTTGGACATGGGGGTATGCGAAAGTTGGCTACGTACTCAGCTGGGATTTCCACATCACCGTCAGGTCGTACCATGTCGGGTGCATCGCGAAATTCAGGATTTAGCGCGTTTAGTATATCTTGAAATTCGTGTCGATCTATACGATACTCGCATGATAGACATTTGACCACAAAACCGCTGCCGTGCAATTCCACGACATTGCGGCTACCTGCTTTTGTGTGAAGCCGATCGACGTTTTGGGTAACAACAGCCTGAATACGTCCCTCTCGCTCGAAACGCGCCAGCGCATGGTGGGTATGATTGGGCTCTGTTGCAGAGAATGTTGGCCAACCGACAAAATTGCGTGCCCAGTAGCGTTGGCGCACATTTCCGGAGCGTACAAATTCCATGTGCTGTATTGGTTTGTGATTAGTGCGCGCGTACAAACCAACTCCCTCGGAGCGGTAGTCGGGTATGCCTGCCGATTGCGGATACATTGAGTATATTTCGTATTGTTTTTAATGTGCTGTTA